GACGGATCGAAGCTGTTTGGCAACCGACCCCGACGCGAAGTGGAGGCCGACCTGCTGGAAGCCTTGTGCTCTTGCTGAGGTGAGTCCGCCTCGGATGGGTTGGAGTCCACATCCTACGCTGAGGTACCCACCTCGACAGGACAAAACTCCACGTTCTGTGCCGAGGTGCCTACCTCGGCCCTAGTGGACTCGCCACTCCCATCTAAAAGACAATCTAAACTAAAACTAGGCATGCTAAGCTAAAGGAATTGGACAACGGAATTGGAAACAAGGAAAGGCAAACTCACCAAAGAAGACGGAAGAAAGCAGGACAACCTCAGACACAGGGATAGTTAACACCGAGCTGGGAGACTTGAATGTGATCTCAAAGAACTTAGTTACGCAGTTTGAGGCGAGGAAAATGGGCCGTTCGGCCCCTATTTATAGCCACCATATCCGAGGATCAATGGCCAAGATCTGCATGATCCAACAACTCCTATGAAAATCGGCTACATGCCACCCGAGGTCGAAATCAGTTGAGTGCGTGTTTTGACTTCCACGGACTTTATAATCGGTGTGACATCCACGTGTACCTGATACGCAATATAGGTCATTTCTTGGTCGAGCCAAGCAGTCATACAGGTCCAACCGAAGGTCCGCCCTCCCTACCACCTAGACATTGTGCCAAATCCACCTAGGCTCGTCATGAACTCCCCGCGTTCTGTTAGGACCCCTGGCACAAGGAGTGGGGGGCAATTGATGAGGGGTGATTTGGCCCGACCTAGTAAGTAAGGGACATGCGGGCATGACCTGCCAGTAGGATGACAACTCAGCAAGGGGAGCCTTGTTAGCTATTTAGGAGCTTGGGTGTTAGGGCACCTCGGCACCAGCACCAAAGCCACTTCGGCACCCGAGTTTCGAAGTGACACGTGATTGACTCTAGAAGCTTCTCAGCGGACTCCGAATCTCCCAGGATCACACCACGTAACGGCCAGCCTTATCCTCTCCCTGCCCGTATCAAACGGTAACAATAGACTTCATTGACCGGTATGTTACTTTCCTTCTAAAGTGGAACGGATCCCATTTACATGGGCCAACGATTCCAAAGTTGTTTTGTGAGACCCACGACAACTCAATTATATATGGGCATCAACCCCCCGGGACCTAGGTACACGCGATTAAGTGCATTCTAACTCTCCTATTTCTCAAACTCTCAGCTCTTATATTACTATTAGTGACTTAAGTATCGGAGTGACCCCGTCGGGTTAACCACCCTGAGTTCTCTAGTTCCTCATTTTTTTTGCAATTTGAGCGACCTACTTGGCGACAGGCGTCTGAACTGCCCTACAGCTAGGAGCATCCAGATCGCACACTATCAGATTTTGTCATTGGCATTCAAGAAGGAAAGATGAAAAACCCTATACATAAATATCAACTTTCCTCTAAATACTCTTGATGTTTGAAACTTTCTGTTAACACTGTTATTGTTTCCGTTAAAATCCACAGTTGTCATTCTATTGTGGTTTGAACACCGTTGACTAAGGCTTGTTGTTGTTAATGGTGCGATTGGGGGAGAAAGGTTAGAATCTTAGAACGTAAGGGCTTTGGAAATTTCTGTTGGTGTTAGCTTTAAAAATTTATCAATTTTTTTTATTTAATATTATTTTTGTCACTTGTAAAATTTCGGTCAATTGTAAGTAATGAATTCACATCTTCGCCTCACAATGGGCCACCCCACAACATCCCACGATATTACAAGTATTGGAAACATTTCCGGATAATAATATTAGAACTGCGTCATCATTGGAAAATGTTCTCGATACATGAGAAGGATGTGCTCTGGAACGTTGTGAGGCGGAGATATAATCTCGCAAGTAATGGTGAATGGACTATTGAATTATGTGTCAAAACTTTAATGGACTCGAAGAGAAAATCCCTTCGAATCAAAACGCACTAGATCCGGAGTACAATAAAACTACTTCCAAATATCCAATATCCCAAGCGGCTGAATACGATGGAATAAGGAGGCAATTTGGTTGGTTGGTTGGATTGGTTAAAAACATTCAAGCCCAATTCTAAAATTTATACCGCGTATACCAGTCCAACTTAAAAGTCATAGTCTAAGTCCTAAATTATCGAGCCCAAGCCCAACGGGAACTAAAGCCGATATTATTGAAGCTGGGCAATAGGGGTTCTGTTGGGACTAAATGGGGTCGGGTATTGTATTACGGTCCATTAAATTGAAACTGGACACAGAAGAAAATACGTACAGTCGTACGATATCGTTATAAACAATACGTATAGTCGTACGATATTAATTATATTTATATATATACGTGGATAAATTATTATCATTATTTTTTGTTATGCTCAGTTTGGAAGAAGTACAAATAAATATGTAGAGTACAAAACTTTGTATTTTGTATATATTTGTGCTGTTAATTTTTATATTTATACTCCTTTCAAACTGGGTTTTAGGTCTTAAGTATGGTTTTTAAAATCGGATCGGACTGGACGGTTAAATTGGAAAAATTGGGAACCGGTCAGGTGACCAGTTCCGTTTTTTCAAAAACTCGGATTTTCCCACAAAACTGTTGATTTTGGTCAATGAACTGTTGAATTGGGCGGTTAATCGTTTGAACGATTTTGACCATTTTTTTAATTTTTTGTCAGAACGGGTCAAACGTTCAGTTTGAACGATCAGACCGTTCGACACAGTAACCGAGCCCCTAACCAATTCAGTCACCGAGTCGGTTTTAAAGACCGTGGTCTTAAGCATTTCCTGAAATTGAGTCTCCATTTTTGTTTGGTTTATATATCTATTAGTAAAACGGTTGTCTTGGATCATATGAAATCATTTTTGGAGAAAAATTTTTAGAATTATGTTTCTGCAATTATAAAATGTTTTTCCTTGTTGGCTTATGTGACACTTAATGGTGCCTTAGGTGTTATAAAAAATGTGCACGAGTCATGTGCATAACATTATTTACTTTCTCCTTTTATTAAGGCAAATTCTGTATAAAACGTTTATTTATAAAATGAGAATGGAACCAAAACAGGGCTTAGTGAACCCAGACATATTGTAGATAGAAAGAACGATTGGATTGTGTTATATCTTATATGGGAGTTGATGCTGATACATAAGGGGTTGGGGTGTTCATTATGGGTTCGGATCTCCTGCCCAAGAGAGCTCTGCTCATGTCTATCCACAATACACTATTCCTCATGAATTGGGAATATCTCCCCCTGTATAATACTATGTAGAGGATGAGATGTTCTCCATATATGGCTGCGATAAATGTGAATAGAGTTATAGTGAGAAGAATATTCGGACTCGTTCATTATATGGTTTAGACCGCAAAACCACTCTAACCAACCCATGATTAAGAGTTTGGTTTGTTTTTTTAAATTTTAGAAAATAGACTAAACCATAAAATATATTAAATTTAATTATTAATAATATAGTTATTAAAGCATATAATATATACAATACATATGTTAAATATATTTATGTATGTATATGTTCATTTATCATTTCATACATTTTTGTTGTTTGTTTTAATATCTAGCTTGTAATTTGATGACTAAGAAGCTGTTTTATATTTGAGAAAGTGTGAATATAATTTATATAATAATAATAAATTTCAATTTAATATTTTAATTGTATATGTTTATTTATGTAGATATGCATGCTATTTGAGATTTCTAATTGGGTTAAACCCAATAAATCGGATGAAACCATATTATTATGGTTTGATCTGGTTTTGGTTTGAGAATTTCTCAAATCATAATTTATTTAATTGGCTTTAGATACTTTCCAAACCGAAAAGGGGAGTTAGCCTAAACTCCATATATTTTGGCAAGTTAATCCAACCCGTAGGGGAGTTCACCTTTACTTCGATTAAGCTGGAATTGCACTCGATATTGCACCACTACAAATAAAGTTGCCTAATCAAAATACAAAAACCCTAGTCCAACAGGTACAAAACTTCAAATTGGGTCTAATCGGTTTAAGTTGGAGCCACCCAAGTTGGTCCTATTGCCGGATTAGAAGATAACCACGGTCAACACGTGGCAAGTTAGAAATGCCAGATAACAATTATATGGGTTCAAAGTTGTACCCCACAAGGCCACAATGCACGCCCCACAGGCACATCTCAGCGTTCATTGAGGACATCTTCGGATGTTCCCAATAGACGGTTGGGATGTGCTGTGTGAGGGCCGTGGGGCGCCAATGTGATCTCCAATTATGTAGTGTGTCACTAGAGTTAGCCTCAGAAAAAAAGAGACGTCGTCACTCGTCGTATGGCAAGCAATTTCCTAACCGATAAGGGTATCATCGTCATTTAGCACGACAGTAGGCGAGTGAATTCAAAAATTTACAAGTGCAAAAATTATAACGAAGTTAGCTGTTAATACTCCAAATTTGGAACTTCTGGACTACGCTGTCGCTGATTGTATTATGTGGTGCCTATCTATCAATTCGGAAAAGGAAGAAAGTAACAAATGCTCACCGTCCGATCACGTTCACATCCAATCATCGGTGACTTCTGATCCAGCGTGTTTGATGGTTGATGCGACAATCAGAACAGTAGAGGTACGGATGATAGACCGTGCTCTGGGAATACGAGACATCTAACGGCTCCAGAAGGCTGAACACATGATCTATCTATCCTCTATGAATAAAATAATTGATAAATTAATAAATTAATGAAAGGAAAAAAGGCTAGCCGCTAAATTTCCATGGGCTCCCCACAGACGCCCAACATGCCCAGCCAACCGTGCATTGGGAATATCTCTTCGTGATAAACGGTTGGAAGAGCAAGTGGGGCGGGCTCAGTGGGAAACCCATCTGAATTCTTAGCCGCTTATTAGTGCTTGAGTTGCAGAGTTGCAGTTGCCAATTGCCTTATATGCATCTTCAAATTCAAAATCAGTGGCATCGGTGTGAATAATCTCCAGGTGGAGCCTATTTTGCTTTCGGATATTGGTTAAAAACCACTATAAAAGACCTCTCCTTTCTATCGACTATCCTTCGAAAACAAAATAAAAAACCCAAACCCTCCGCCGTGCCGGTGTTTCTTGTTCTCTTCTTCCTCTTCTCACTTCTCTCTCTTTCTCTATCCCTCAATCCCGCCCCGCTCTTTCTTTGTCTCTCGATTAGGTACTGTTTTTCTTTCTATTCTCTTTCTGTTTTCCTCTTGCCTGGTTTGTCTCGATCCTTAGATTTGTCTCTTTTTTTGTTGCTTTTCCTCTAGGGTGCAGCCATGTCTCTGAGACCAAGCGCCAGAACTGAGGTTCGTCGGAACCGATATAAGGTCGCCGTCGATGCCGAAGAAGGTAGAAGAAGGCGAGAAGACAATATGGTTGAGATCCGAAAGAACAGAAGAGAGGAAAGTTTGCAGAAGAAGAGACGGGAGGGCATGCAAGCACAACAATTCCCCACTGCGATTCACGCTTCTGCCGTCGAGAAGAAGGTTTGCTTAGTCATTTCTAATTCAATTTAGGCTTTGGTCGGATCCACCACTAGATTTTCGTGGATCTATGGATGTGGAGTCCTAGGGTTCTCTTTTTGATCTAGGACTAGGATAGGGTTTCGATCTACGTGGGTCGGTCGTTTACTTAGGCTTTGGTTTCAGTTTTTGAACAGCTGGTGTAGTAATCGATGTAATTACAGAGCGACGCAGACGCCCTAAATTTTAAATTTTTGTGTCCGGCACTTTTAATATTCGCTGTGCGCATTCGTCTGATTGCAGTTAGAGAATCTTCCGTCTATGGTTGCTGGGGTTTGGTCTGATGATAGTGGATTGCAGCTTGAGGCAACCACGCAGTTTCGGAAATTACTTTCAATAGGTATTTACTGGATTTTGATACTTTTTTTACCTATTCTTCCTTTTCCTTTAATTTTTTTCTTGGATGGACAACAATTGAATGTCATATTTTCGACAGAGCGCAGCCCTCCGATCGAGGAAGTCATTCAATCTGGTGTTGTTCCTCGTTTTGTTGAGTTCCTTCTGAGGGAGGACTTCCCGCAGCTCCAGGTTCGAAGGGATACAACTCAATCTCCCATTTCTGTTTTCTAACCTCTGTCTTATGCATCTCTCCTTGACACCTTAATTTTAATCAAGTCTTGTTGAACTTACAGTTCGAAGCAGCTTGGGCTCTCACGAACATTGCTTCGGGAACGTCGGAGAATACCAAGGTTGTAATTGATCACGGGGCCGTCCCAATTTTTGTGAAACTTCTGGGATCCCCGAGTGATGATGTTCGGGAACAAGTATGTATAGAGCATCAACTCGATTAGCTTTTGGGGTTGTTTTGTTGTTTTCAATTGATATCTTTCTTTTATGCAGTGGGCGGGCTCTCTCTGCCATTGTAAATTAAGCCGTCAGTTCATTTAAGCTTATAAAGAATCTTAATTATGATGGTTACCTCTTAAAATCTGTAGGCTGTGTGGGCATTGGGAAACGTTGCAGGTGACTCTCCCAGATGCAGGGACCTTGTTCTAGGCCATGGAGCCTTGATTCCTTTACTAGCACAGTTGAATGAGCATGCTAAACTCTCTATGCTGAGAAATGCCACTTGGACTCTATCAAATTTCTGCAGGGGCAAGCCACAGCCTCCTTTTGAGCAGGTGGGGTTTTTGAAATTCCTGCTTATGTTGCTTCAAGCTATATTATGCTGGTTGCTTTTTTATAGCCTGAAACTTGAAATTCATGTTGCAGACTAAACCTGCACTTCCAGCTTTGGAACGCCTTATTCATTCAAATGATGAGGAAGTTCTTACAGATGCTTGTTGGGCACTATCATATCTGTCTGATGGTACAAATGATAAAATTCAAGCTGTTATTGAAGCGGGTGTCTGCCCTCGACTTGTTGAGCTCTTGCTGTGAGTATTGTTTGTTATTTTTAATGGAGTTTGTAAAACATGAATTCCAAGCATGAAGGTATGATTTATTCTTTATTGTTTTCAGCCACCCATCACCTTCGGTGCTCATTCCTGCCCTTAGAACAGTTGGAAATATTGTCACGGGAGATGATATCCAGACTCAGGTATGATTTTATTGTGCCTCCACTTTATATGCATGCTCGTTAACTTTCTTTTGATATTCGCTGTGATAGAAAATGGTATACGAAGTGCCATTCACTTCTTACTGAAATGTTATCTGATGGTAGTTCAGCCATTGTTCCTTTTTATTGCTCTGAATGATAATGGTTCCATATTTCTATTGCTTGAGAATTTTAATGTTGAATAGTTCGGAAAGTCAATGTTTTGTTTTTTTCCTCATATCTTTGACCTGCAAGTGATGATTTATGTTTGAAATTACATTCTATGTGATTCTTTCCAGTTTCCACCCATTTTTTATTCCACTGGTGTTTTTGAATTTACTTTAGTCATTGTGTTATTATATTGCCATGGATGATAACAAAAATGCTTCCATAGCTTTTAATTTTTGTTTTTTAGCGTCCTGTTAAGTACCATACCCATTGTTAAACTGTGGGCCCTTAAATAATTCCTCACTACAATCCATTTCCTTTATGCTTGTGCTTAGCTCATCCAGGCCCTTAAACCTGTAAAAGATCACTTCTTCTTAATGTGGTAGCTGGTGTTCTCTCTATACATGCCCAAACCATCCTGGTTTACTTTATCTTGTTTTATCTGCTCCTGTGTTCCTTTGAATAAGTTAATTTCTGATCCTATCGTTTCTGGTTTTCTCATTCATCCATCTCAACATTTGCATTTCTGTTACACTGTTCTTTGACATGTTATGAAATGTCAAAGTATCACCATCATCATCATCTTCGTCACCCAAGCCTTATCCCAAACCATATGGGGTTTTCTACATGATTCGTGTTTTGCCAGTCTGTTTTGTTTAATGTCAAGCATGAAAAGACAAATCAGGATCCATGTTCACGATATTTTGGCAAAAAGTTTTAGTGCCAAAACACTGGCTACCAACCTGACACAACCCTCCTTTATCCAGGCTTGGGACTGGCAGTGTAAGACAAGCTTTACACAGGCAGAGTTGAAATGTGATGGGTATTTGATTTAAAATTGTCATTATGTCAAATGTATGCAATGCTTTTGTTTTGCTGCAAGAATGTATATCAATCTTTAACATTGGTACTTGGATTCATAATTTCACCCAATGCACACAAAAGAAAACTAGGATGCTTTTTGTTGCTGCTATTGTAGAATGTGCCTGGGTTTGTACTAAATTGATCAAGCGATCTCTGAAATATCATTCCTTCCAAAATAATTTGATATTGTTTTTTGGTCACATTTTTTAGCGTCTACTTCTCTACTAAAGTATACTTGTCTTCTATTTGTTTTTGATTGTTGCTACCTTCCTTGCTAATGGTTGGCCATGCAAACAAGAAATAGATTTGACTGCTTTGTTGCTAGTATTGCTACTTTTCTTGTCTATTTACTTTTAATGCATTTTGGCCTTTTTTGATATTTAAGACTTCCAGTGCTTACTTTTTTGAGCTAATATTGTCGATATTGTTCTTTTCCAGTATATCATCAACCACAATGCACTTCCTTGCCTTCTTAGCTTGTTGACCCACAACCATAAAAAGAGCATCAAGAAGGAAGCTTGCTGGACTATCTCAAACATAACAGCTGGAAACAAGGATCAGATACAGGTACAAAATAATATTTCTCTTGCATTGTGTGTGTTTTCACTGGAATCATCTTCATTTCTAAATTATGCATTGTCTATATTTCCTAATATGATATTTAAGTTGGCTGAGAATTTTAATTGCCTAGGCTGTAATTGAGGCCAACATCATCGGTCCTCTTGTCCAACTGCTTCAAACTGCTGAGTTTGATATCAAGAAAGAAGCTGCATGGGCAATTTCTAATGCAACATCTGGGGGTAACCATGATCAAATCAAGTATAGTTCTTATCATCTTTTTACTGGTTATATGTTTTTGAGTTACCCATGGTTGAATTAAATTATGTTTTTTATGGGTACCCATACACAACTTAAATAAATTTTCTTCCTAACCTTTTCCTTATATGTTATATGGAAATTCATACATCTGATTGTTTCTGTTTGACAGGTACTTGGTGAGCCAAGGGTGTATAAAGCCGTTGTGCGATCTCCTTGTGTGCCCTGACCCAAGGATTGTCACAGTCTGTTTAGAAGGTCTTGAGAACATCTTGAAGGTAGGAGAAGCTGAGAAGAATTTGGGCAATACTGGAGGAGTAAATTTATATGCCCAATTAATTGATGATGCCGAGGGGTTAGAGAAGATTGAGAACCTGCAGAACCATGACAACACTGAGATCTATGAGAAGGCAGTGAAGATTCTTGAGACATATTGGATGGAGGAAGAGGATGAAACTTTGCCCCCAGGTGATGCTTCTCAACCTGGGTTCCGCTTTGGAGGGAATGAGCTCCCAGTTCCTTCTGGTGGATTCAACTTCAGTTGAAGGTAAGCCTGGGTTTTCTGCATGCATAGATAATCTAGATCCTTGTTATCCATTCATTATATTGTTAATTTGTTATGTTATCCTGCCGGTATAATGGTAGTGGGCGTGTGCCAAGCTTGAAAAGTCAAATTGAAGACATTTATAGCTTTTGATCCACATGTAGATTGCTCTTGAATAATTTGATAGGTGAAAGGATTGTGTTTGTAGGGGTTCTCTCATTTTTTGTCAGTGATACGTGTATGGATTTGAAAAATTGCAGGGTTTCAGATGGTGGTGCAATGGAGTGAAGTCCAGGTCGGGGCGACGGGGTATATGTCGGAGTCGGGTCAAGTCTCGTCGTCATCGTGTTTGGGTCCTGTTTGGTCCAGTCTCGGGTGTGGTCGTAGAGGTGCCGAGGTGGGGTTGGCTTTCTACATTGGTTGAATAAAAGGGGTGAAAGGTTTTCGAAGGAGACATCATCATGGACTGGGTTATGTGGTGGGCATAGTTTTGTCATTTGATTTGTATACCATGATATGCGGGGAGGAAAGAAAGAAAAATAGGGATCTTGCCGTCTTCAGCAAGAGCCAAATATATGCAGTATGGAGTCGGGTTTTTGTTTTTTTTTTTTTTTCCAATTCATTTGTAGTGTAGTTTGTTGATGCAAAGTCAAAGTCAGTCCTGGTATTGTTAATGCAGGGTGATATTTTGTAGTCAAAACCTATTTGCCTGGTGTATATCAAGGAAGCAGAAAGGAAGAAAAAGAACAAAGTGTTAATTAGCGTTATTGTTTATGAGTTAAAAAAGACTTCTTTTTGGTTTTTATATTCGATTGGTTCCGTTTCTTTTCTGCGTTATCATTTTAGAGGAAAATTTTATGGAATGCAAAATAGTTGGCAAAACAACAATTAATCACTGAATATCATTTTGTGACAGTGAGTAATGCCTGGGTTTCTCCTGTTATTTATTTTTATGGATAATTGGATTTTAACTTTCATGGTTTCCATATTTTGTTGAGAGGTTTTGAATTTTGGCGTTTTACTTCAAATGCGATTTTAGGTGTTCTGATCCTTCTGAATTCTGGCGTTCTAGAGCCCATTTGGAAGGGCCTTGCGTTTGGGGTGGGGTGTGTTAAACGAGCGAGCTGCGGTGGTGAAGCACCAGTGTAGTAGTGTTCACTACCGTTCCGGTGAAGCACTCAGAGTAACTTTCATAATTGATCAGTGGTTTGAACATTCAAATTCACGTCGTGTTTTTTGACGTTCCTGGGGTCCATACTTCAAATGAGGTAGTGTACGGCCATTCGGGTGATATTGAACTCACCCAATTAATATTGCGTGTGATGTACGGGATTTTGCTTTTTAACACTTTACAACGATGAAGCGATCGAGGGTATAATAGTGGTGAATTCTAGGACTTCCCCCCATCCCCTTCTGCTGTTTCCTTCAATTTTCGACTGTTAAATATCTTGTACTTGGCTTGTAAAAACAAGAGAAAAAAAATTCTTTTAATTGAGATTCAGATGATGTATAGAGATCAAAACGTTGAATTCCTTCTTATCATTTTCTTTTAAGTAAAACTGTGCACCATGTTTCCCTGCTTTTTTTTTTTTTTTTACAAATCAAACACGGTTAGATTAGTGAACTGTGTGATTCAAGATTTCAAGTAGCGCAATTGCCAATGGTCCAGGATCCAGGATCAAAAAATATGGAAGCCAAGGTGGAATGTCCGGTCAACTCTGGCTACCAAGTGAGTGATGGCCAGTTGGTACGTTGGCTGGTATTCCCAGCGGATATGCGGATTCGAGTGCCCGTGTTACCACTTACCTTCTAAAATTAGGCCTTGTTTTGGAGTATTTATATTAAAAATAAGTGTTTATTCAAATAAGCATTTATTTGTATTTGGCACTCAATTTTTCAAATTATTTATTTTAAAAAATAAACATTTTTTTTTTCATTTTGAGTGTTTGATGGTCTTTTTTTTCTAATAAGCACATAAATAAGCAATGATGATTCTTATCCTTTTTTTTTTTAAATTTTCAAAACATCCAATCCAAAGTGAATAAATAAATGTACTTTGATAGATTCATAGAAGTGCTTTTATAGAAGTGCTTTCATAAAAGTACTTTTGTAGTACTTTTATAAAATTACTTTCATGTAAAAGTACTTTTCTAAAAGTGCTTTCGTAAAACCATAAAAATACTTTACTTTTGTAAAAGTACTTTTCATAAAATAAAAGTGACTGTAAATTTGCTTTTGTAAAAGGATATAATTGATATTCTAAAAATTTACAATGGACAATTTGGGGAGTAATTTTGAATGAGTGCTTATTGTATGAGCACTTAAAAAAAGCTGAATATTTGGGCTTAAAAAATAAGCCTTATTTTTAAAATAAGCACTTATTTCGGGTTTATTTCCTGAACACCAATAAGTGCTTAATGGTGTGGTTCCAACCCAAATAAGCAGTTATTTTAAGCACTCCCAAACATGGCCTTAAAATGTTATGTTAAATACCAAAAAAAAAAAGTGAACTTTGGCTGGTCGCATGCCCCTTGGCTTTCATCCTTCGAAAACTAGAACAATTTCTTCAAATTCCCCAAAATTTGGCCATTTGTTTTCAACCCATTTACATCTCCTTGGCCATTATGGAAGCTTGGGGTGAGCAAATGGCTAGGTTATATCTAGAATAAAATGGAGTTGACCTCGAACCGGCCTTGAACCGGTCCTATTCGATCTCTCACAAGGTAGGGTCCGGTTCCAAATTCTTAGAACCAACCCTTATTGAGGTCGGTTCCAAGGTCTAAAGGTTTATCCTACCCAAACCAACCTGATGAACCGGCCTTGGAACTAAACTTTCTTTGAAATAAACCCCTCAATCTATACTACTTATAAACGAGGAATTAGCTTCTGGAATTTTTCTTTACTAAAATATCTCTCCTCTTAAATTTAATTCATCTCTTTTGAAAGGACAAAAAATGTAATTAAAAGAATACCATTAAGTACATTCAATTACCTCTCATTAAGTCTCACATTTATATCATTAAATAAACCACATTCTCTTTCATTGAATCCAACATTTATACTTTTGTTTATCATTATTAAATTCCACTAATAAATCCATACACAATAATTATTAATAGAATGAAATTTTATATTTTTAAAATAAACATAGAAATGAAATCATATTTTTCATGTAGGTGGTGGGTAAGTAGTTCAACCATTTGGATCTAGTGGATAATTTCATGATGTCATAAATAAATAATACAGATTTAGAAATATAAAAAATACTTATGTTTATCATCATTAAATTCCACTAATAAATCCATATACAATAATTATAAATAGAATGAAATTTTATATTTTTAAAATAAACCTAAAAATGAAATCATATTTTCCATTTAGGTCGTGGGTAAGTACTTCAACCATTTAGGTCAAATGGATAATTTCATGATGTCATAAATAAATAATACAATTTTAGAAATATAAAAATATAAATAAATATAGAAAAAATTGGACACATTTCTATTATTATATATTTGTCATATTAAAAAATAATTATGATAAAATAGACATATTTTTATTAATGATGAACATTAAATATACAACTTAAAACTGATGAGAAATTAAACCATCTTCCTATCTAGGGGGTGGGTTAGTGGTTTAATCTTTCAGGTCAAAGTTAACCCATGATCTATAATTAAAAATATATTTTTTTAAATAGAATAGTACAAAAAAGATGAAACAATTATATTGTTATATATTCACCATATTAATAAAAAATAAATATGAAAATAATAATTATTTTTATCGATGATGAATATGGAATACATGATTTAAAATCAACCAAAAAAGCAAAATGGTTTTTCCATCTAAGTGATGAGCTATTGGTTAAACTATCCATGTCAAATGGATGTTATTATTAAATAATATAATACATAAAATTCTAGAAAATATAGAAATTTGTCGATAATTTTGGATACATTCTATAATATTATATATTCATTATATAAAAAAGTGTGATTAATGAAAATTATTTTCATTAATGATAGAAATGGGATAAAAATTAGGGTAAAAAATAAAGAGCATTAATGTCTAACACATGACCCGATTAACCATGTCAAATGGTTCAATAATTTAATTAACTAGGTCATTGTAGGCAAGTGGTTTGGTAGGGATGCAAACAGATAAGGTCAGATTTGAATTAAGGTATATTCAAATCAGATTTGATCCAAAGATTCGACCAGATCTCATAAATATTGATTCGAATCTGAATCCGATCAAGATGTCAAATATTTGAATCTAATACGATCTGATTTAATTTTTTAAAAAAGTACTTAATTATTAAAAGAAAAAGAACATATAAATGTTGAAATAAAAAACAAAAAAAATAAGAATTTTTTCAACTGTTTCCATCATATAAAAAGTTTACAAAAATGCAATATAAATAACATATTTATAAATAAATAATAAATAACATATATATTTTATATAAATAATGTATATACTATATATGTAAATAATTGATTTGACCATAATATTTAAAACCAATGTTCAAACAATATATTGGAATTGTATTTCCTCTTGGTAAATAAGTAATTTTTATTATCTCATAAATTAAATAATAAAAAATAAAAATATAGATTTTTTTTTTATAAAAAAAAAATTGAACATGCATTCATATTATATATTCTTTATATTAAACAAAAAAATGTTTGAAAAATGAGAATTATCGTTAGTAAAGATAGAAATGGCTAAAATACAATGAAAAACGAATTAATGTCTTAGGTGACGTTTGATAAATATGAAATTTTAGATTTGAAAAGTTAAAAAGATATTAAAAGTGTTTGAAATCTGAAAAGAGGCATAGATGCTTTTCTACTTTTTAAAGGATCTAAAAAGATAATGCTGTTTGTGTTGGATCAATTGTGCAACATCTAAAATTGCTTTGTTTTACTATTTTACCCCTGAAACAGACTATTTTGCAATTTTGAATGCAACTAGCACTATTTCATATAAAATAATTTATCAAATTCAGAATAATATCAAAATTATACAAAAAATTAATAAAAATAATTAATAAACTAATAAAAAATATTAAAAAATTAAAATAATCAATAAATAATTAATTACTTAATTATTAATAATAGTGAAATAACATAAATAAAAATAACAAAATAAAAAATAATTGGTAATAGTTACTAAAAATAAATAATAATTATAAATAACACAATAAAAATAATTAATCACTAATAAAAATATTAATATGATTAAAATTTAATAATTATTATTTTTTTATTAATAATAATTATTTAATTTTTAGTTTTGTTTGATTCCTTTTTTTCAATGGAGTGAGAGAGAGAGAACCACTGGTGTAGCGGGAAGACATGGGAGAGAGAGAGAGAACCGTTGCTGCAACACAGGAAGATAGGGGAGAGATCGAGAGAGAGCGAGAGAGAGAGAGAGACCAAACGAATCTAAGCGTGCGAGGAGATAGGGGTAGCGCACATCATTTCCCAAATATTGGAGGGGTAACTTTGACTATGCCCCAGCTCTGAAACGCATCTAAGCGCACTAAGAGCCGGCCTAATCTCTAAAGTTTTCAGATCATGTTTAAGAGGAGAAACCAAATGAGTGTGTGGATCTGAAAAGCAACATTTTGAAATTCAGACCTCTAAAAAGTGCAATCAAATGCCTCCTTAATCATAGTCCATTTTCCTGGTTAAATAGGTTAATGGTTGAACCAGTAAGGTCCTTTGGTTACTGATTATTATCATTATCATCATTTGGTACTGCAATGTGTAAAAAATAAATGTCGAAATAAGAATTAC